AGAATATGCTCATGGTGGTACCTCACAAACGGTAACTGAGACTCGGCCTGAATGCAGCCTGGGGAATCCAGTGCTGCACATGGTCATAAGAAGGCTAGGAAGAAAATATCAATCTTGAGTAGCCCACTCAATGTTATGTCAGGTGAAGGAAAGCTCAGGGACTTTAAAGGGATCATCACTTAGTTGCCTTTAAAGTTTATGGGCCATGGTTTCTGTTATTTGTTGGTGTGTTCTTCACAAATCTCTGAGGCTGTCAACTGGAATATGTTCAGACTTTTTTTTTTTTTGTTGAAATCTACGGTATCATTCAATGAACTTCTACTATGTAGTACACATATTCTTGAGAAAAGGATTACCTCACTTTTTAAAAAGAGAATTCCAGATAAGCACTGCTGGTAGTGAACGCATTATAATATACCTTCTGTTTCCAAAGAATTCACTAGAGTCCTATATCTCAAGCAGATCTCAGCTACAGTTTAGGAGGAACGAGAACGCAAATACCAGGATATTCATATTTAAACTGGAGGAATGTTGTGCTGCTAAATTGTGCTACTAATACACTTCTTTCCTGCCTAAGTTAAAACAGCTTCTCTGAGATAAGTCTTTGCTTTGGTTTCAAACTACATTAGTTCTCCATTTATTACTTACTAGCAATGACAAGGGCATTTCCTTAGTAATAATGAGACACACAGTAAGGATGCTTGGGAAATATCTGCAATGTGGCTGTTACCGCCATTAGAAGATGGAAATGGAAATCCGTGGACCCAGAGGCAGAAAGAAGAGTTTCATTATTATGTGCCTTATACATGTATGACAATCTGAGAGCTTGAACGATCAGTCCTTCTGAACTCCCTTCAGAACTGTACAAACTGTAGCAAAAACGTTCTGATAAATGAATCACGGTTATTTGATTTTCTTTTAGTAGCTGAGTCGCATTGACAACAGATAACTCGGTAAGTACTGCAAAACCTGTACAAGAAACTGAGAGAATACTGAGGAGGTTAGCCCAGCCTGAACTCTGCTTTGCTTCGCTGCCCAGCAAAATTGCTAACCATGCAAGCAACACAAGCATGTCAATGTGAACAGTGGTTATAGCTATAATTGTAACCTATACAAACTAAAAAGTGTATTTGTGTGTTCAGATGAATGGGATCACGTATAACTATTAGGATCCTGACTTTACTAGACTTTACTGAATGGCAGAAAATTCCATTTCAAAAAAGTACCAAAGAACCAAAGATGTGATGAGCCTTTGTACATACAAAAAAGATGCACCAAAAGAAACGCCTGTAAGTTAATCATTCATTCTTACTGCACTGCAATTCAGGCTCTCAGAGAATGCTTGCATATGCCCCCAGATTCCTTTCCTGTTCAGGTCATAGCTCCAGAGAGCCCAAACATACGAGCAGCATAATCAGCCTTGACTTACAAAGCAAAGCTATATCCATCTCTGTTCTCTCAAGCATCTAGCTAAAATAAACCTCCCAACCTTGGGATACAATTTTAAGCTTACATAAGTTTCAACTACACAGCAAAACAATGAGAAATCTCATTAGTCCAGAATTTGAAGTCTAGAGTCAGTGACAGAAAACAAAGTTCACCTTTTACATCCACAGACCAAAAGGTACGTTCTCAGGGAAAGGTCATTTTGCCAGTGAGCCTGCTTCCTCTAGCCTGTAATCATCTAGATGTTCCTGCTCCTGACTCATTCAGCAGAGTAAACTTGGATGTATGGCAATGTAGAAAGAAAACCTAAGAATCAATTCATAGGTGCAGTAACTTTCAGTATCCCTCTTGCCATGACTGTTAACACATATATTTCTTCTGCGAATCCTAAGCCTGTATTTCAGAGTGATCTTTCAAAGAGGTCAAAGTTCTTCATAAAATCCTCTTCTCTTAAAAATCCATGTGACATAATTCATCAACATAGAGGAGTTACTACATGACCAGAGAGGAAACAAGTTGAACAACAACGAAGCAAAAATTAATTTGACAATGTAAGAAAGAAGTATAAGAAACCATATAATAGAAAAAAACATGCAAAAGGAATGGAACATTTAAGAGTAGACAGACTTAAGGGTAGCAGTTGAGAGGATCAAAGCTGCAGAATGAATTTATCTGCTGTTTTTTCACTAAATTCATGGAAAATGTGTAACTAAATCTGAAATACTGAAACTGTCACCTAAATCACCTCTACCATGTTAATCACTGTCAGTCCAGTCTTTTTCACTGATTGCTCTTTGCATTGTTTTGTCTTTAGTAACCAAAAGAAGATTCAGATGGATGAGGTATTTGAAGAATTATCTCTAGGGTCATACAAAAGAATAACTTTGTCACGGTGACAGCAGAAAACTGCCAAAATTTACCTGTGCTTAAAGCTCAAATTTTTCTGCAGGTAACTTACCAGCACAAAGTTCTGAAATAGTGATTTATATTTTGGCAAAAACTTGGTGTTTATCTATGAAAGCGTTGATACATCAGAGTATATTTAGGATCTACCATGCTGGGTATCAAGAAGAAAAAAACCAGCATCATGGCTTATGATTAGTAAGCAAGTGTAATGACAACGAAGTGGTCTGATCATTGCCCCACAGGAATAGAGGGGAGCCTTGAGCTGAACCCGGAAAGCAGCTAGCCAAGGAAGAGAAAATGCTCCTGTACAAATGGTGCTGACAGATTTATTTTTATGGGAGAGATCAGCAGTCCATTAATATTACTGTCAATGAAAGCATCGTAATGACACACTTTGTATTTTCATTTGCTGCTTGTGTCTGCCTCCCGACAGATTTCTGTTACTTTATAACAGAGATTTTGCTTATTACTGTGTTGGGGGAAAAAAAAAAAAGAAAAGCTCTAAAAATGCCCGTTTTACCCTGCACGACAGTTCCATGAACACATTTAGTTTCTGCATAAGGAGTTTAAAAATAACTTCTCTTAAATAAGCAAAGATAGTAGTCCATGAAATTAAGCTGTTGTTTTCTGTAAATGTCAAATAATTATATTAGGAATGTGAAAATAAGCCATCAGCAGAAACACAAACGCTTAGAACAAGATTGGCATTATTATTGTCATAGCCAGTCTGATAAGAGGCAGTTTTACAATAGTGATAGATGCTGAGGCTCCCATGAAGTCTAATGACAAGGCTGATGTCTTACAAAGTTCTTGAGTATAATAACGTTTTAAAAGTCTGAAGATGCAACAGGCAGACTTGATTCTGATGTGGCTTAGTAAAGTGCACTTCTGTTAACTTTGCTCTGATGCACACGTAAAAGGGAGATCAAAGATGAATTGGAGGAGCTTCTTGAAAAATTATTTTTTATTTTGTTATTTTTTGACTTTTTGGAGGAAACAAAATGTAAAATTACTTCACTTTACATCTTATTATTGCAATGTCTGAAAGCTTTGGATCACAAACTAATAATTCTGCTTTCCATGCCACTGGTAAATCTCATGATCTGACATTCCTCATGTCTTGAGAAAACGGGTATGGAAATTTTATATCTTTCTCCCTTAAAAACATCAAAATTATTAGCTGGCTTGATATCAACCTGAGCAAAACACGCCTTATGAAACCAGAGCTTACTTTCTTTCCTTATGTAGTTTGATTCTCTGTGTCAACTTGGCTTTCCTGCAAGCAGAAAGTATTCTTGCTAATTTATCAACATAGTGTTTGCCTGCAAGATTTAACAGTATCTAACAGGGCACTGCTGGCACTACTGGCAATAAAATACACAAAGTATTAAGGTAGGTCATAGGAATACAGTTTACAGGGGTTGTAAGTTGAGGGCTTAGTTTATGCTCAGACCTATCTTTCTCATTTATGTATGCCATTTCAGTTACCTGTCACAGATTCCTAACGTGCTTGCTTTTGAAAACAAGTACCACAGAAAAATATCAGACAACAAAAATGGGCTAAATAAGCATGGTTTACCCTCCCACTCCTTCTGTTCATAGCTACAGTATTCTTAAGCTGAGTATTAAAAGTTCTGTATCATAATATTATATCCTTTAAAAAAGATACTCTCGGGGAAAAGCAAGCATTAACATCACCCTGTTTTCTACATGCAAGAATTAGCAGCACTGATCATCAGGCTCTGAAGACAAATATTCTTACAACAATGTGTCATGTGTGTATGCACGTATAGAAATTATGCATATACATTGATTGCAGAATAGATACGTCAGCAGAAACATTTCGTAGTTTGTGTTTCAGTTAAGAAGACGACATGGGATGACAGACCTGTGTTCTGACTCTGTTCTTTTGCTGCCATATGTTTATGTCAAAAGTATAGTCGAAAATACAGTGCTAATATTAATAATAAATTATATTCTCATATGTGATCTTGGCATCAGCACTTACAATTCCAAATTAATCAAGAATTCTTCTTAATTAAAATCTAGGACCCGTATTCCCAGACAGGGTGACTCTCCTGGCTCCCACTGACTTAGGTGTACAGACCGGTCACTACAGTTTTGTGGATCTGAACAGTCCATGTTCTTGTCTATAGCTGTATATGAGTAAAGTTATTCACATGGATGAAGTAGGACTACTTTTATGCAACATTACCCATGTGCTTAATCATTTATGGTACTGAAACATAATATCACTCAGCGTTAAAGAACTTCTGGGTTAAGTCTACAATTTACATCTACAATAACAAAGCTTCATTTTTTCTGTCTTAATGTAACTAACTAAATATAAGGCTTTGGGTTTTGGTCTTTTTAAGCATTTTTTAACATTTACCCTGTATACCCTGTACAAACGTATTTATGTATCTCTTCAAAATCTATACTACTGTGTTCACTGAAAAAAATGCAGTTTTGAAAACTAAAAGAAATGGGACTTCAGCAGAAATTAAGTTTTTTTTTCCAAAATTCTGTACTTTAAAAATCCATTGTGTTTTACTTTGTACTGAATTACATACAGTTTCCACTGCACATGCTGTTAAAATTAATTCTAAACCCAAGAGAACTAAAAGTCAGTACACACAAGTACTTACTAGTTTCAGTTGCTACAATAGTTATGTTGTGCCACGTGTTTGTTTCTCTGTCCAGTGGTGTTGCCAAAGTTATTTTCCCATCTTCTGCGTTAATGTTGAACTGCCTCTCAAGGTCAGTATGGCGATCAATGGAAAACCTACAAAACAGACATCCCTGTAATCTACTTAACGAAGTTGGTGTAATCCATATAATCATGAGACAATTTAGGGAGCCCCCCGAGAGCTGCAGTTTTATAGCCAAATGGATTGAGAAGCTCAATAGCATAATAATTCATAAGACAAAATGACAAACTGAGACTAAAAAAACTTAATAATGATTGCCCAAGGAGTAATTAGCTGTATACCCAGTGTGAAGGTCATAAAATGCCCTCAGGTTCACTGGGTAACATCTTTGAAAAACGGTGCTGATCAAGAGTTAATTACACAATCCATCACATTTATTAGACAGTTTCTACGGTATTTCACAGTAACTGATGATAAATTCAACAGTAATGTATTAAGCACACAAAAATGGTGGGCTTCATGGTTATTTTAGAAAGGGCTGAATAATATTATTTTACCAATAAATTTCAGATTAATGAAGCATGAACTATTCACCAAGCATATTATTTGGTCATGGTTCAAGCAGCTCCATGGGCAGAACGCAGTGAATCACCATTTTCCTACAAAACACTTCAAACGCAGAAGGACTGATTGTTTTATGGATTGACATCACTGATTTTTAACAAAACAAGTTTCATCTGACAGGTAGCCAGAGCTTGCAAACATGAACGTCCAGGTAAATTATGCAGCCTAACCAGAGCCAACCTGACAACACAAGTGAGCTGCAGTAGCTTGCTCCAACAGTGCATTAAGCGGGATGATGGTCTAAAATGCAGAACAGGATCTCCAGGAAAGATTTTATGTTTTTCCATTTCCACAGAGTTATTTTATTAATGTATTATTCGCAAAAAGAAAATAAATCACAAAATTAAGCCTTCCAATTTTTTGACAGGAAAGGTATGAAATGAGAGAGTTTAGTGATAAACTATTGATATGGTTCAACAAAAATTGACTTCAAGGGGTTTTACTGAATTCTAATTGTGGATTTATATAAAAGCCTTTTAAGCCTTTGTGTCTATGTATTACAGAACCTAACAGCATGCGCTGACATTTTTTACATCTGTTCTGCATTATATCTAGGCATAATAGGGTGAGTTAGGATACAGTATCAGACTGGATTACATTATATAGTGGTCAGGAAAGTGACTGTCAGTTTCTCATTACATTTCTACTTCTTGCAAATATGCTGTTAAATTCACTGATAAAAGAATAAGAGCATATTTTGCTACAGTGACAATGGCACAGTTATCTGAAAATCAGTTATTCCATTCTGGTTTATGCTTTATCATATGCCATTTCCCAAAAAGGTTCTGATTCGGAAGTTCTTTTATATGCGACAATAAACATATACTGATGCACTCAAACTCGTTCCAGCATTACACAGTTGATTTTGATAGACATAGCATTAGGATCTGATTTCAAATCTTAGGATTACGGCATTCTTTTTTTTATTTCAGTGTCAGATATTTTCATATTTACAATGAAGATACATTACAATTACATTGCTTGTGCAATGCATCCAGCTAGATACAAGTCACTTTAAAAAAATCAGTTCTAAATTATGAAAATTTATCAAAATCTTGAAGTTCGAAGACTCTATTACTAAAGGTAAGGCTAGCATGATCACACTGGTAAGGTACTTAACAGCTAATGGACTTAAGAGTGAACCCCCCTGTTTAACTAGGAAATGGGATTTACTAGACATTTAAGTTTTCTGGTTTTAAACTCTGAGAAGAACTAGTTTTACTCACTTAGAAATTAGTAGTTTGGTTAAGAAGAGTACCACAAAAACCAGGAAGTAAAATTCCAAATACATGTGCCTAAAGCTAGGCACATGCATCTATCTTTGGACATTTAAGTAAACTGATTTTCTAGTGAGCTCCACATATTCAGTTCTTGATGGTTTAATGGGAATTGCACTATCCTCAGCGCTTCTGAAAACCAGGTCACTTGTGTGGAAGAATCAAGCTGTAGGTGCCTAACTTCAGGCAATCATTTTTGAAAATGTATCTTAACCTTATTTTGATGTCTCCCTAGTTCCAATTAAAGTATTAGAAGTAAAATTCTGGTACTGGTGAAGTTAGTAAAAAATATCTTACAGACTTTCACAGGTTTAAGATTTCACTCAAGAAAACAGAAGACAGACAGCAATGAAGATAACTTTAAGATATCATGACTTAAACCCATCTTTTAATTCTTGATGTTTATGTAATGATGCAGAAAGAACTCTGCTGATATCAAACATTTATGAATTTTTTACAGTTGACAAATGAAATAAAATATGAAAAGCTTATATGCTATTTAATGTTTAGTTGACCTGGGCTTGACATAAATTCCAGTGAGATAAGGCACAGTTCTTCTCTAAGGATCAATCCTTTTTTAAACTTCCACTCACAGTCCTCTTGCAGTACATTTTTTGAAGTTATAAAACTGTGAGTGTAACATCTGTGAGTTTATTATATTGCATTTCATCTCATCCCAGAAGTATTTATTCACAACGCAAAACCAGCATTCAAAATGAAAGATTTTTAACATAAGTTACATAGCTTTACAAGACTACAAAGAGGTAAAGCCCTCTCCTGATTTTAATTTGATAAATATTTGGTACAAAAATAAGAAATAAAATCTGTAGTGTCATAAACCTGGGAAAACTAATAGTACATTTGCAGTTTCCTTCTCATGATAATGGTATTGTAACTCTTTTTAATGGGAATGCATTGTCAGATCCATAAGCTATACATAAAACATACATTTCTCTAAAAATGAGAAAAGAATATCTTGGGAAATAATGTCTTTTGAAATTGCCATAAACCCAGAACAGGTTATTGAAAAGTTTTGGTTAGTTTATGGGTCTGTAATGGCAATTATAGGAACAACCCCACAGTGGTTTAACAGAAGACTTAAAGTGATTCTCAATCCTGCTCCTGCACTATTGCTATTGCTGTTATGACTTAATTTGATCTATTCTTATTTGCACCAATGTAAACAAGAGCAGAAATCCTTTTTTTGCTGCACCTGCTGAGATTTGAATCACAGTACTGATACCTCATCAGTGGTAAATCACCATTGTTTATTAATGCCAGGCAGATCGGACATGCTACTTAGTAACAGATAAACAGCTGTACCATTAGGGAGGCAGAAAATAATCGTATCTAGGTTTTTAAGGCCTGCTGTGAATTAGGAAAATGATCAACTGCTGCCAAAGATGAAATCTCTGTCGATATGAACGGGGAAAACCTGCCACAGCAGAGCTTATCTCTCCACAGAGAAAGACACTGAAGGGCAGCGATTTATAGGAGGGCAGATACAGTATAGGAAGAAAGATTATTACTCATGCTTTTTTTCTACGCACTTGAATGATGCTTTATCCAAGATAATTTACTGCAGATAAGTGGACCACGGTTATAAAACAACAGAAACATGGAATAAGTACTACTGGAATCAACAGATTTGTATGCTAATAGATAATGATCTTTCAAGCCCAATTATACTATAAGCCAGAATGTACCACCCTTGCTAAATAAACTACAGTAAAGCTTTACAACTAGCTTAGCTGAATTCACTGGGTCCCTTTCTCAAGAGAGATGTACGCGGTCTGGCTGTGGTAAGTTGTCAACCGCCGACACATGCTTCTCAAATGACTAGGCTAGAAAAAGACCGTGCTGACAATTATCAGCCAAATTCACAAATCCTTTTCATCATCAGGCTTAAAAGTGAGCCAGGCCCTTAAGCAACATGCACAGCAGAAAGGCAAATAAAGATAAATAAATCTTGCTACTTATTTTGAAAACACTGGGCTATGAGAGATACGATATAGTTAGACTAACCTAACAACTGATATGAAGAGGTAGTTCATATTCATTGGAGAAAGGCGTAATGAAAGCATAACTCAGCCGAATATCACATTATCACTTAGCCATTCAAAGATGCCTTTGATTATCCACAGTTAGGGCTCAACAACAATGAGAAAAGTCCCATCTAACATATGCATCCTCTAGTCCCACCCATCTAAAGGTGCCTAAATTTCTTTGGCTGAAACAGAGATTTCAGACTAATGATGACTGCCAAAACTCCACATTTGACACAAGACACTGCTAAATACCCTCTGCAGGTATTTCCATAAGGTGGGCACAGTCAGAACCAGACTGGTAACCCATCTATACACCTGCCTGTAAATCTATGATGGGCTTCATACCTTTTAGATCAAGTGATGGAAAGATCAGAGAATATGTTTCATCTCTTCTAAGCAACCATAAAAACCAAAGTACTGTTGTATTAGATAGAAATCAGGTTAAACTTTTTTAAAATAAAATAAAAAAAAAAAAAAATAAGTAGGAGAAGCTTCTTTCCAGGCTGTTTTCTATATCCTCTTTTTTAAACTCTTTTAATGTCTTGTCTCATGACACAATTATCAGACTACTTCCACTTTCGGAGGTATCTAAGTTTTTATTTCATTTATGGTACTGCAATACCCTTGAGTTTCCTGAGTTTTTGTGTATAAGACTAATGTGCAGCAGATGTGGTATTGGTAGCACACAAGGCAATTCATATTTTCATTTGCGTTGCTAGGGTTTTTATAACAAATGTACACAAAAGCTCTAACCAAAATATTGATCAAACAGGTATCTACTGAAAAATACAATTTCCTTGAAATGCAATTGGTGGTTGTCTCATAAAATTCTGTTTTAAATAAAAAAATACATTAAAAATGGCTAGGCAAGGTTAGAACAGTCCATTATTTTTAGAACAGAATGTTTTAATTCTGGTTTTCAAACTTTTAATTTGTTTAGTATTTTTGAAAGTGTATCATAGAACATGTACATAAAATTTGTATCATGTATGTGATACAATAACAGAATAAACACTTGAAATGCACAATCAAAGTGAAACATTCTAATCCAACAAAACAATGCTTCCACATATTTTTGTTAGAACCTGCCATCTTCCAATTTTGTTCCAAATTGGAAAGAAACTGCATTTCTGCTCCTACTTGCCTCTGATGAATATTTTTGCTCTCATAATAGCAGGATTACTAACTTGAAATCTTTTTTTTTCCTTAAAATATTTTTCATGTCAGAAATGAAAAAAAAAAAGGAATTTGGACTTACCAGAGCTATCCCAGATAAAGCCAAATTAATCAAATGAGCAAACAGCAAAAAAAAAGTTGCATAGAAAATTGAGCTCTGTATATTCCTTAATTAGCCATCAAGCCAATACGATAGAAAAACTAAATCTTATAATGTATTGCATGTAATATTTTTAAAGAAGATATAAGTCACACTAATTAATAATATTTTTGTTTAAATGTAATTAATTATGGCCAATTCTCTTTTATGTATATCAATTGTTTCTATATGGCTTGATAAGTAATAACATTCTAATTCAGTTTGTACGTGTAAAGTATTTTTGCTTTTAGAAGTTCGAAAATATCTTGATCTATAATCCATCAAAAAAATGGAATTAAGTAATAGTTAAATTTTTCAGGCTTGGACAGAATAAAGAGGCTCAATTTTAGGACATGGGTAGGCTTGTGGCTGGTCTAAATTATTAGGAGTTTAGGGCAGGACTAGAAAAGAATTCCAGGGAAACAGAACAAGACTGGAAAAATAGCCAAGGTAAATCTAAAGCAGAGTTGAAGCCAGGCTGAGATGAGGAACAAAGGGGACACAATCAAGAGGCAGAGGAGCACAGGACTGAGCCAAGAGCAAAGCAAAACAGGGTAGAGAGAAGGAACTAAGGTTAAACTGAAAGAGAAATGACTATTGAGCTGGAATAAAGGAAGAAAGCCAACTCGCTGCCACCATGGCTGGTTTCACAAGATCCTGTCTTTGTATCAGCGGTGCAAGCCCCTTTTCACAGGTGTCAGTGGACAGCAGTAATAAAATCAGGGGTGGAGTCACTGCTTAAATTGTTTATGTAACATTTTTCTAACCTGTGTAACTACCCTCATTTATTTCTCATTTTTAAGATCAGATTACCATCTTTGATCATCCCAAGAGCTTCTCTGGTAAGAAAATAAATTTTGTGCCTATTGACACCGTCTGGGTTGCGTGCTGCATTAGAAAATACATTATCCAATTAATTTGTATAGAAATCTGTGACAGTCAATGCTACGTTTAGCTAGTTTTGAAAGGATGACCTAAAAATGAGAGACTCCAACACCCTCTCCAACATCTTCATACACAAGTTATAATCCATCCGAACACATTGGCAATTCTGAATTTCTAATTCTGAAAATACTGGAATATGATATGCAACATGTAGGCCCCCTAAATAAAGGTTTAAAGTTTGGCTCTGTGACAAACCTGATGTAAATGACGATGATTAGAAAATAGTCTTAACTGATAGATTATAACAATTAGTATCATCCTCACAATGCTGAGGACTGCTTGCGTAGCTTAAATTCCCTAAGGCAAGAATATACAGTGATGATTATTATTAAATAGACTTTCTCTAAATATACCTTTACTATGAATGTGACATTTTGGAGTTTGTTTTCATAATGCTTTTAACAGGCAGTATTATACACAGCAAAATGTGTTTGGGGAACGCTTGCATCATTCCATACTAACCATTACAAAGAGGGAGGGGAAGATGTGTGCTCATCAAAATGAGATAGAGAACACCGATCTGATGAAAGTGGAATAACAGATTTTGTTCAAGTTAGATCAAAAAGGGAAAATACTGTAAATCAAAGGTGCAAAAGTCATATGGGCATAATAATCTCTGATTTTCCGTCTTTAAACCAGGAATGGGTTTAGCCAAGGGAATACAAAATATGTTTTGGAAACCTTACAGCTACACAGAAGAAACTCAGTATTGTTAGTGCAGACACTAGCGGATTATTTAAAGTAACTACAGAGATACACATTGATGATTCAACCCCATCTGACCTCATACACCCTATTTCTTATTTTCATTGCACACCTGCTGTTTCATAAGACTACTCGTGTGGCAAGGAGCATTTTTGTGATTTTGAAAATTATCTGAACTGATAAATCTAACATAATAAAACAAATCCTATACAAGTACTTTCATAAAAATAGACTGGCATGAGAACAGTGTCATACAATGTATAGGAAAATATACTTAGTATTCTGCCAGTAGTTTTTTCAAAGAGAACTTTAAAGCAGCACTACCTTATAGGACTGGAAGACACGTCAGGGTCATGGGCAGTCACCTGGCCAATCACAGAGTTAATGGCAGCATTTTCATGCACTTCCAGTAGGTAAGTAGGTGATGAAAAGACTGGCGGCTCATCAGCATCCTCTACTACAATTTTTACCGTTGCTGTATCCTTGAATGGTCCTCCACTGATGAAGCGAGGATCAATATGAATGTTGGCTGCTTCTACCTTCAGAGTATAGGATTTTTTGGTCTCAAAGTCCAGTGGCTGTTAAGAATGACAAAGATAAATCTCTTTTACTAATGGCCACAGAGAAAGAACAAATGAATATAATGCTGATGGATGAAAGTTATGTGCATTTGAGCACATTCAGTGAGTTTTAATGCAATCACTTCCCACTCCCAGAAATCCAACCTGCAAATTTTCTAGGCATATATTGATATCTGTTTATTAACCAGCCTCAGAGAAAACAAGACTCTTTGTTTTCTTGCTTTTCACAAGAAATTTACCAAAATATTCTCTCTCATGAATTATACCATTACAATTACATATCAGATAAATACTACAAATTTGTTGGTGATGACACGACTCGCATACTAATCATGCACTTAATCAGTGCTTTGTTAGTTGCAGATAAGAAAAAAAATTATACTAGCTCCACAAAGAATAAATATTTTATTACTTCCAGAACAATGTGAGAAATGCGAAGAACTAGCAATTATTATTTGTTGGACATGAGAGGCATTATGTGGAAAAATGTAGAGCTAATCATGTAAGAAAGTACTTCAGTATTATTGCACTTCAGGTAACTCTGCATTTCTGTTTATAAGGGTAAATGAGGTAGACATCTCTCAGGAATTTCTTAAAACTGTAGCAATTCCTATTTCTGTATCTTATTTTTCTTTCAGAGAAAGAAACACGATAGCGATTACTTTATTCTATCAATATACCTGCCATGTCACCATTGTTTTTACTTTTTTGCAGTTCCATATTAAAACATAAAAGATGAAAACACTGGGGATTTAAAGGAATGATATACCAAATCTGCGACACTTCTGAATATTAGAATTTTTCATTATAGGAGATTCAAGTTTGTGTCTTGAAGCACATCAGTATATTCACTATATAATTCTCTTGTGTCTCACAATGATTCAAATTTCAAAGATGCAAATTGCCAAGCATTGGAAAGATATTAAGATTTGCATTACAATGTCCCAGGGATAAAAAGAAAAGGACATAGAAACTCTGAATCTGCAATGCAAATACCAGCAAGAGCACAAATAGGGACCTTCAGGAAGTCTGTCAAAGCCTTCAATATGTATACTTCCAAATTTTGTTGATTTTTTTCAGGTATGAATCGAGCTCTAATGGGATTTGCTCTTTCTCACAAATTCTAGTAAACATGAGAAAACCTTGCTTCTTTAGCGGCTCTTGAATTAGTAAGCTTTTGTAATTATGAATGGTGATTTATAAATCAGCATATTCACAATTTGCCAATCATAGCTCCTATATAATTTTTTCAATTGCTTTTCATATGCTTTACAGAAATGACAGCACCCCAATACATTTAGTCATGCTTAATCAGAATATCATATTGAAAATTTACTCTGCATTGTCTAAACCCCATGAATTTATGCTGGAGAAAATCTGTTGGTGAACAGTACCCTCCATACATCATCTACTCTAGTAGAACCGAAATGATTATTGCTGTCAAAATGAATATATGAAACAACATTATGTTAGAGATTCAGTTATGAAATAAAGCCAAGGGAACTGGGGCAAAAGGCTAATTGCCTTAGTTTACAAAAGAGGCCACAGCATACAATAAATAACAGTAAGGAAGATTGGGGATGTATATCATAATTTTCTCTTTAGGAAAACAGATCTAAATTTAGATAAATATGCATAATTTTATTATACAACTACAGTGTTGATCTCACTGAGAAACAGAAAATATAAACTTTTGATGGGTACTCTGCCTGACCTCTTTAATTACAGGTACAAGTTGAATATTAATTACCTGTACTCACTGGATTCTTCTTTTTTCACTGCAATGTCATGTTCTTGGTTTTGGTTGGGGTTTTTTTTGGTTGGGTTTTTTTTTGTGGTTTTTTGTTTTGTTTTTTTTTTTTAAACAAAGATTCTTTGAGAGTGCTCTGTGCTACATATTTAAAACCCTCTATGCCAGTCTTATAAGATGTATTCATATCCTTTTTTGGAACACAGCATGAGAATCGTCTCTTTTCTCCTTCCCCAGAAAACAATGAAAATTAAATCTGCAATTAATGTTTCATTGACTTTACTAGCCAAGTTTTATTCCAGATACGCTGTCTCTCCCAATATTTCTGTATATAATTGAGTAAATGGGTGGTCCTTCTGTTGTGTACATGCAGATACCTCATCTTGCCTACATCAAGACTGTGCAAGCATAGAAAAGGTAGAGTTGTAGCCTTCTTTGGGGCCTGAATTTGGTACTTCTCATGTGAAATGGTACTGCCCTTGGTAAAGTTCACTGAAATCACTGTTCATTGAGCAAAGAGACTTCAACATGAGAAAAGGTGGAAGACTAAGCCTCTCACACATAATGTAATTTAAATAATACACTATGATTTTTTTTTTCTCTGAACAGTATTTGACCAGCTATACAGCAAATGAAAAAATAGAGAAAAGGTATTTGATGAATATTCAGCCAAGATTTTACGGAATTTTATACCGCTAACAAAGCAGATTCTAATCTACTCTTCTCCTTTGGAACCAAGAAAGTAAAACCTATATGATTTGACCACATGGAAGCCCAGATAAGATTAACACATTCCCAGCACTGAAAGTACTTCCATGGACGTCTCCCCAGATGTCACCTAAATGGCAGTTTTGAGGGACATGGCTAATACATCCCTTTTTATCACTTCACTGGCTTGACACCTCATCCATAGATAAAAGAATCATTAGAATCCAGCATCTAGTCACAGAGTACAGTCTGGCTGCCTAGTTGTATGCACAATAAACATTTTTTAACAGAGATATCATTTACCTTTCTCACTCTAATAATGCCGTCCTGAGTTTGGGCATCTGTAGTAATTTCAAATATATCCATTCCATCTCCTTCAATAATATCATAGGATGATTTAGCATTTTCTCCAATATCCAGGTCATTTGCTTTCACCCTTCCTATTGGTTCACCAAGAGCAACATCTTCCATTACTGAGAAGTGATACAGACCTTACGAATAAGAAGAAAAGACTAAACATTACACCCGATTCCAGTATCTCTGGTGTGCTCGTCATTTGTTAATGCTTCTCCAATGCAAACTCTCGAGATGGGCAACTGACACAAATGACATTTACACAAGTTATTTACTGAAAGCAGCAAAATGTGTTCCTTATATAGGAATATTCAGTTTACTGTATGTGAATGTTCTTTTCGTTACAGTAGTATCCTGCTTCTTCCTTGCAGGGATGCTTAGTGTTGGCAAACATACATAGTGAGCTACTTTCAACACTGAAAGCATGCAACGTTCTCTGCTGCAGACACTGTTGAATTACTGTTTTATTTACAGGCTTGTAGTTAGAATTCAGCTATGAAACTTTGGCTTTTACTTTGTAGAAAACTGGTCTAGTACTTGAAAGATGCCTTATGCGATTTCAGATCTTTACTATTTTTTTGACCCTTTGATTTGGTTTTGTTTAACCCCTTCCACCTCCTGTTTGTGGTAAGAAACTAATTAAGAAACATTCAAGGAAACTCCCCAAATTCACGTTTTAAGGGAAACAATAACTTTCCATAGCAATCATTACCGTACTTCCTATTTGGTCGTAGGGTAAGACTAAAATCCACTAGAAAGTACTATTCAAATTGTCAGCATTTTATTTTCTATAATACTTGCTTCAAACCTTCTGACCTAATAAGTGTCAAAAATCTTTTTAGAACTTGTAATATATTATTTTAGGTAAGCGTTTTAGTAAGAGAACTCAAAATACCCATTCTGCTATTTATCTCCCATTTCTTAACAGTACTCCTGAAAAACAGAAGACAAATGCATGCTTTACTTCAGAAATTCTTTATGGGGTGCCTATTTTTTAACCTCTTGGTAATTTACACTTACTGAAGCTATGGTTAATACATGAGTTAATCAACTGCAGTGCTACTTAGTAGTTAAATAGTCAAAAGGAATTCAAGGTTAGCAGGTAAGACCATTAAAATAGTTTTTGACAAAGGGTTCCAGACTTGTTCTTTTCTGTCCTCACAGTTGTTCTAAAGACAACGTGTGGTTTTTACTGTTACGTGCACGTAGTATTCTTCTAAACCCAAAATGTTCTGGAGTTATTGCTTTACATGTTTGTAGGCTGATTGCAGTAGCAACAGTTGAAAGTAGGAAGGAAACTGTGAGGAATTCACAAATACATATATTAACTATACATATAGTCTATCCCAAAGTGACTTTTTTTTTTGTTGTTTAATGTTTCTCAGCTAAGTTATTAGAGATAATTTGGAGATCATCAAGATTCCTCAAGAATATTCATAATGGCTTACAAACAATGAGCAGCCAAAGCAATCAAGTGCCTCAGGAGACTAAATTATGTGCTCATAATTTATACTGCTGTCCACACTTTCTGGTTTGAATCTCCTGACACACTTGATTGCATTTTTAAGTTGGTATTTTTCTCTCAGATTTATTAAGATAGTTTACCAAATACTGTAAAAAAATCATTATGATGCAGCTGACTCTTTTACACAAATTGCTCTCAAGAATTATGAATTGTCCTGTCAAGATGCCAAAGTGCAGGGCTGACCAAAAATCCACATTACACATCTTTGAAAACCCTTGGTTTTCACAGCAGCACACAGTTCTTCTCAGTACAATTCTATGGTAAACTGCCAGGTTAAAAACTTCTGTGACTTATAAAATGCTGCTAAAATTATTTCAAAGAGATCACAGAAGTAGTGAAAGTTCATCTTTTTCATTTCTAAAACCCAGGAGGCTAACGCTCTTTGAAATCAAACCATAAATATACATTTCTGTCCTGCCTGGAAACAATAAACCGATAAAACACACCGCTTTCTGAGTTCATTACAATTTATTGCGAAAGCAGCATGTATTACATCTTATGAATTTCTATTTCATTCTGGTTAGGCTCTGTTGTAAGTTTGATCCTTTCTTATTTTCCTTTCCAGGCAAATACAAACTGTGCTTCAGTGGTGTAAAAAATGTTAAAGACTTGATCAGATCTTGTGTAAGGCCAGAGTCATGACTAATCTGTAATGCTAGGCAGCATGCTATGAATACTTAGTTTTAAAAGGCAGAATTTGTAGTAGCATCCAGTTACAATATTTATTATGGTTCACCCTCATTAAATGCAGTATACACATAATACAAAGCTTAGTACATGCAGGTTTTTTTCTAATGACGTTGCCTAACTATCAGTGTTATAACAGGGTGGTTGTTCCTAGACGGTAGGTTGAATTCTGCACTGGAATGCACTAGCTGTAACAGGTTCAGAGTCACTCTCTGCTGAAGGAAGATTAATCTATATTTTCCATATAGAAAATACATTTCAGGGATCTGTGATGCAGTCTTCCCTATGCTACCCAGTCAGTATGTTGCTGTATCCAAACTACAGGAGAACAGATTTGAGTAAACTGTCAGGGACAGTACAGTTTTATCTCCATATGCATTCGCTCCT